GTCCGTTTGTTGTTTTAGTGAAGTACTAGTGAAAAAACTAGTGTTAAAACGGGCATTAGCACAGTTGCTAGCCGCAGCGCTAGTAGCTCGAGCTAATAGCCATTAGCTTTGACTGTGACTGTGTCTCCTTCGCGCGCTTTGTCCGTGCTTTGTCTGCGCTTTGTCTGTACAGCTCCGAGGAGCAGGTAAATTACCCAACTAAAAGATCTTTTCATTTATTTTAATTCATTTATGGCGAGAGCTAATTTATTCATGAGTTTTATATTAAGTATTTGTACCCTTGTTATATTTTTTTGGTTTTAGAAACTTTGTGGTTGTTTCTGAGCGCTGCCATTTTGTGTCAGTGCGCCCATCCTGTAACGTGAGATCGGTGAGAAATTCATATTTCTTTCCAAATTAGTTTTCATGTAAATTCTGTATTAATTTGTCATTTGTACCTTCATTGGGCTAATTTTATGCTCTTATTTGCTTACTGTAAGCTGTGAGAAGCTATTTTATTTACAAAAAGGGAAGTTATTTTACATTATGGATTATCCATATTGACTATTATATTGTGCTGTGCAAATTTGTTTATTGGATTTTGTATGCAGTTAATGTTAAAATTAAAGGTTACAGGACCTAGCAAAGTGGAAAGCTTACACTGTGATTTTAATATTTTGTGTGTTATGGACACTGTCTGTCGACAGGTCAGGTTTTTTTGGTTGTTTGTTCCCTGGATCTGGATCTTCCAGCGACGTTGATGGCGAGCCTTCCCACCTGGATCAAAAGTGAAAGGGAAACAGTATCACCAGATACTACCAGTGGCTACTTGAACGTATCCTAATTCTGCCACACCCTATGGGTGGTAGGCCAACTGCTGCAAAACATTCTCACATTCAGCCCCCCAGATCAACACACACACACACACACACACACACACACACACACACACACACACACACACACACACACATTCCTTCTTATGACTCTGACTTGACTTTTGACTTTTTGACTTCATCGTGTGGAACTGAGAACTGAGTGGCAGGATAGAATTAAGATTTTGATAATTAATGTGAAACTGAGCAATTGCAAATGTGACATTCTTTTTTTTTGTGATTTAACACAACCAGTGTTATCAGTGTGAGTGGTACCATTGTTCGTGATTTTGTATGTATTTTTATTCTTTTTTACTTTAATACAAAAAGCCGGCATGTTCCTAAGAGTAGTATTACCACCTATTATTGTTTAAAGGGGTGTTACATCTACTTTTGCTTTTAAAGGTCCAGTATGTAGGATTGAGTGGCATCTTGCGGTGAAGTTGCAGATTGCAACTCTGTTGCTTCACCTTCCCCTTGCAAGGATAAACTGCAATCGCTGACAACTTGTGAAAATTGCAAACACTCCAATCCTAAACCAGTCCTTGGTCTGTCCCTTTTGGGCTAATGTAGAAACATGGCAGAATCCATGGGCGGCATTTGTAGATGAATAAAGTTCAATCTAAGGTCACAAAAGTATAACAATAACTGTATGAAGGTTATAATACACTACTGAGATCAGAAATATTAACATTATGTTCAATTCCTCTATTAGATCCTCCTAAATGTTACATACTGGACCTTTAATAATTAAGTATACAATAATAATGTTTTTTACGAGAACATTTTAAAGACATTACTTTGTACCGCTCTGACATCACATGGATGCAAGAATTTTTCTATGACATCACAATTTCCCTATAACATCACAAAGATGTGAGCATTCTCACATACAATTTCTATGACATCACAAATGTAGCATTCGCTTCCCATTCTGCGATGTAATCTGCATTCTGCAGTGACTTCACAAATGAATGTGACAATTTGGCTATGACATTACATTCCACATTCTGCATTCCACTGGGACGTCACAAACATTTGTGCATTTTGCTCTAAAATCGAATTCTGCATTCGGCTGTGACATCACATTCCGCTATGACATGAAATTTGAAAAAGTGGGCGAAAGATCTATTTATATAACTTGTGAACAATTGCAAACACTGCCATCCTAAACCAGTCCTTGATTTGTCCCTTTTGGGCTAATGTAGACAATGTAAACATGGCAAAATCCATGGGCAGCATTTGTTGATGAATAAAGTTCAATCTAAGGTCACAAAAGTATAACAATAACTGTATGAAGGTTATTATACACTACTGAGATCAGACATATGAATATTGCCATTAGATACTTCTAAATGTTCCATACTGGACCTTTAATATATAATAATGATGTTTTTACGAGAACATTTTAAATACATTACTTTGTTCCGCTTGGACATCACATGGATGTAAGAATTATGCTATGACATCACAAACATACTATCATTCCGCTATGACATCACAAAGATGTGAGTATTATACTATGACATCACAATTTCCGTATGACATCACAAAGATTTGAGCATTCTGCTATGACACCACAAAGATGTGAGCAATCAGCTTGGATGTAATCTGCATTCTGCAGTGACTTCACAAATGGATGTGAGAATTTGGCTATGACATTACATAATTACATTCTGCATTCAGCTGTGTCATCACAATTGGAAGTACGCATCGTGCTCTAAAATCAAATTCTGCATTCTGCTGTCAATTCACAATCCGCATTCTGATATCACATCACAATTCAGTTGAACGTGTACACTCCATTTTGACATAACAATAGGAAGTATGCATTCTGCTGTGAACATCACATTTTGCATTCCGTTATGACATCACAATGATATGAGAATTTCGCTATGACATCATAAAGATGTAAGTATTCCGCTGTGACATCACAAAGCCATGAGAATTCCGGGTAACACTTTATAATGAGTACACACTGCATTAGGTAAGCAGAGCGGGATTGCAAGCTCAACGTACACGTCCCAAACAGATAAGATCACAACAATAGCATGTCTTCATAATCCACCCTTGTTCGTCTTCATACAATATGTTGGGAAGTTGCAGTAAATATCAATACAATATGTTCTATATCCCTTTATGTTGTGCCTCTCCTTCGTCTGTTAAGATAACTGAACATTTTGTGAGTCTTGAGGCATTGTCAGCCTTTGTATCTCATTTGTAAATGCTTTATAAGCCATAGATAGTGCTCACTTTAGATGAGCTTGTGCAAAATACTTAATTAACGAGTAGTAAGTGCTTCGTAACTGCCTCAATTCATGAATTCCTGCATTAATAACTGTTTATAGGCCATCATTCGAAAATGAATTTGTTGTGAGTTTTTATAGAACATCTGCTAACACAGTCACTAATCATTAATACATGTCTGAATAGTGGATGTGCAAGTGCATGCAGAAATGTATAGTACAATGAAGAGTAAAACATTTATAACTGTGATTATAAACCACATAGTAATGACTATTTGCAGCAGAATCATGCTTTATAAATGATGAATTCAGTATTTACTAATCCATAACTAATGTGCTTATCAATGATGAATACATTTTTTTTAACTGTGTTTATAAACTGCATACTAATGTGTATTCATGCATTATAAATGATGATTTTATTATTTATTCATGCTTAACTAATGCTTAATAGTGTGTACTCATTGTAAAGTGTTACCGTGATGTCATAGTGGAAAGCTCAAATGTTTGTGATGTCATATCAGAATTCTTACATCAATGTGATGTCACAGCGGAATGTGGAATGTGATGTCAGAACAATGCTCACATCTTTGTGATATCATATAGGAATTTTGATGTAATAGTGGAATGCTCATGGCTTTGTGATGTCACAGCGGCATACTTACATCTTTGTGATGTCATAGCAAAATTCTCATATCTTTGTGATGTCATAAAAGAATGCAAAATGTGATGTCACAGCGGAATGCACATTTCCAATTGTTATGTCAAAATGGAGTGTACACTTTCAACTGAATTTTGATGTGATATCAGAATACAGATTGTGAATTGACAGCGGAATGCAGAATTTGATGTTAGAGCACGATGCGTACTTCCAATTGTGATGACACAGCGGAATGCAGAATGTGGAATGTAATGTCATCGCCAAATTCTCTCATCTATTTGTGAAGTCACTGCAGAATGCAGATTACATTAAAGCTGAATGCTCACATCTTTGTGGTGTCATAGCAGAATGCTGTAATGTTTGTAATGTCATCCACTAGTTGGCAGACATCCTGTACTTAGACCTTAGCTCAGAAATACATCATGCTCCAATGCAAAATGTTCGAGGAAGTCCCATCCAAACTGTTGGGTGAGAAACCGTAAATAGTGTGCCACGGCCCTGTTTATGCTGAAGGGGTATTTCTGGATTTAGGAGTTATTGAAACGAAATAAACGAAAATGACGAGCAAAAAGTTGACCCTGAGGGAAGTCATGGGTCTCCTATTCGCTGATCCTTATTCTGACGGGGAAAATCTACCTTTGGGAGATGATGGTCGCTCGATTAGTGAGTGTGCTAGTCACGGTGAGTCTTTGCATAGAAATAGCGCTGCCGGACAAAGCGAGGAAAACACACAAGCACAAACACACGACCAACATAGGCGGGAGTGGAAATGATACACAAGCCAGAGCTTTCTAAAATCCCATCAGTGTTACATTACATCATATATAACTAGGGATGGGGCCGATCCGATCCAGTATTGGTATCGGGAGCGATACCAGCGTAATTCACGTATCGGAATTTCCCGCTCCAACCTGCGCAGATTTCCGATAGCCATGAGCCATGTCTGCGCTTTAACGTTGTCTGCTGAAATCACTTCTGGAGTCATTCCAAAAACAAGTTACAGGCAGTCAACGTGAAAGCTAAAGGGATTACCGAGTGTTGTGTGTGTGTGTGTGTGTGTGTGTGTGTGTTTGTGTGTGTGTGTGTGTGTTTGTGTGTGCGCGTGCGTGCGTGTGTAAGATGTTTACAGTTATTGCACTTTTCTTATATTTCAGATAATTAACATTTTAAAACCTTGATTTGTTGATGCTACAAGAGCCAGTGTACTTGATTTGTGCTGTTCAGATGCACACTGTTTTTGTGTTGGTCTTAATGACCATTCATTCATTTTGTGTTTCTTGGTAAGACTTTCTTTGGCTATTTACAGTGCGTTAACGCCATCTATTGGCCACTTGCAGTAACGGCAGGTTTTGGTGTATGGTTTCTATTTCCGATGGTACTCTCGTTTTGAACGAGTTTTGTGTTCAGTCTTCCAGACCAAGTTGCGCTCTGTGTTGTGTCAATTCCTCTTACAAGTTTCTTCAAACCCCGCACAGTCGTGTTTCCCACGGGGGCAATGCCGGTGAGTAACGCTGTGTGTAATATAAGGTGTTTTATATTAGCCGTTTTCTTAAGGAAATGAATGTGTTGCTACGAAGTGTAGATTCCTTTGTTTTCCATGTAATAGCGGCTCACGCTTAGTAGAAAACGATGTATGTGTTGCATTTGGATTTGGAAATGATTGGAAAAAGGCAATATGAGCTAAAAGGTACTTTTATTTGTGTTTACAGTTTTACAGCTTGTTTTTGCACTGCCGTGTGTAAAATAAAGGAGAGGAGAAAAAGACCTCGGGATAAAGCAGCATCTCTCTTCTTTGTTCACCTCACCTGGCTGTTTATACGCGCTGGATAACTAAATACGCAAACGTTTAGCGAGGCCAGTACAGTAAAACGGCAGACCCTCGCCTGTCAAGAAGAAGACAGAACTTCAACTGCATGTGACTTGCCGAGACGTGTCCCCTGCTCCATAAGACATGGATTCTCCGACCGAAATGCAACTTCCCTCTGGTGTGACTGAAGTAGAAGCCGGTGACTGGGAGGTGAGATCAGAGCTACTTGCATCAGGCCCTGTTCGTACGCCGTCCCAACACGGATCAACATGCAGCTCTCGAAGGAGCACCGTGCTAGCAACCGCTAAAGCCAAAGCTCAAGCAGCAAGAACCAAAGCAGCCTTTTCTGAAAGGGAAATGGCACTGAAACTTCAGAAAGCTGAATCAGAACTACAAACTGCCAAAGCAGAAGCCGAATTAGAGGCATTGCGGTGTAGAAAAGAAATGGAGGCTGCAATAGCTGAAGCAGCAGCTCTTCAAGCAGAATTAGATGACGACAACAGCCTCGGGGAACCGGGGTCAGAACTGAACCAAAGGTATTTCTCTGCACGCAACGTGCCACCGCAGAGAGACATAAAGCAAGAAAGCTATAATATTTCGCCCAACCTGCATAGCCACCTGCCTCCACCAGCATGTCCTCCAACGCAGCCAGCCATAAGACCTCCAGCACAGCATCCAGTGACATCGCCTGCACAGCTACCGACACATCCACCAGCAGAGTCCCTGAGACCGACACCAGCTCCAAGACAGTTGCCACCGCCGTCACAGGTACCACTACAGCCACAGCAGCCATCCATGCCACCTGCTAGTCCGTATTACATGCCACTCCAAGCCAGCAACCAAGCATGGCAGAGAGGAAAAGACTATGGGCTACCCAGTCCTGCTCCACACCCTACCTCGTCTCGTCACACGCCTGCCCAAGATGGACACAGCTCCCCGACTGCTGACCTGGCGAAGCTCATCGCTAGAAACCAGATCGTCTCCACAGGGCTGACGCAGTTCGACGATAAGGCAGAGAATTACTGGGCATGGAAAGCTTCATTCTGCAATGCCATAGACAATATAGGCTTGTCGGTAGCAGAAGAGACTGACCTTCTGATTAAATGGCTCGGCAAAGAGTCGTCCGAGCAAGCACGCAGGCTCAGAGCAGCCTACATCAGAGACCCCCAGGGTGGCCTCCAAGCCATCTGGCAGCGCATTGAAGAGTGCTATGGCACCCCTGAAGCCATCGAAGGGGCGCTGTTTGCCAGGCTGGAAAGCTTCCCGAAAATCTCCAACAAAGAGCCGTTCAAGCTACGTGACTTAGCCGACCTGCTACAGGAACTGTACGCAGCAAAGCAGGATGGATTTCTTCCAGGACTAACTTACCTTGACACTGCTAGGGGAGTAGCCCCAATCGTAGAAAAGCTCCCGTATAATCTACAGGAGAAGTGGATGTCCTACGGCTCTCAGATAAAGCAACAGCAACAGATTCCCTTTCCCCCATTCAGTGTGTTCGTCAACTTCATCCAGAACCAAGCCAAAGCAAGAAACGATCCCAGTTTCAGAATCACCATGCCACCTCTGCCTGCCACAAATAGAGACAAACCCAAAGGCATCCAGAGTAGAGTCAACCAGCCTGTAGCAGTCCACAAGACTCAAGTCGCCGAGTCCAACCAGAAAGGTGAGCCTGAAGCGGACTCTCTAGATCTCACCAAGCAATGCCCAATCCACAAAAAACCCCATTCATTAGGAGCATGTAGGAGCTTTAGAGACAAACTGCTAGCTGACCGTAAGCAATATCTCAGAGACAATTCCATCTGCTACCGCTGTTGTGCTTCAACCACACACATTGCAAAAAACTGTGACAAAACCATAACATGTGCAGAATGTCAGAGCATCAAGCACGTCGAAGCCCTCCACCCAGGTCCATCACCATGGAAAGCAAAGCCACCCCCACCTACGTCAGAGAACGGCAGGGAGGGCAGTGAGAACCAGCAGCTTCCAGAGACAGTCTCCTCCAAGTGCACTGAGGTATGCGGTGAGGGGATGAGTGCTAGAGGTTGCTCCAAAATATGCTTAGTTAGTGTCTACCCACAAGGCCAGAGAGAAGCAGCAACCAGAGTGTATGCTATCATTGATGAGCAAAGTAATAAATCCCTTGCACGTTCAGAATTCTTTGAGATGTTCAGCGACAATAGCACTCCATCTTCGTACATGCTCAAGACGTGTGCGGGCAGCATAGAGACTTCTGGAAGGAGAGCCTGTGGCTACATGCTGGAGTCACTGGATGAGAAGACCTGCGTCCCTCTCCCTGTCCTCATTGAATGCAATGAACTCCCGAACAACAGGTCTGAGATCCCAACACCTAGTGCAGCTTTGCATCACCCTCACCTGAGATGCTTAGCTAGTGAGATTCCCCCTTAGACTCCAGTGCCCAGATACTGCTGTTGCTAGGGAGAGACATTTTGAGTATACACAAGATCAGAAAACAGATCAACGGCCCCGACAATGCCCCATTCGCTCAAAAGCTAGATATAGGCTGGGTGGTGATCGGCGATGTGTGCCTCGGCACAGCGCACCGCCCCTCCTCAGTCACTTCCCTCAAAACATGTGTCTTGGGAGATGGCCGCCCCAGCTACCTCACACCCTGCTCCAGTCACCTGCGTGTGAAAGACCCTCCACACAGCCACTCAGTCCTTCATGATCTTCCATCTCAGCAAGCCGCTGCCCACACTGCTCCTCTGCTGCACAGGGACGACCTGGAGTCCTCCGTCTTCCACTGCACCGACAAAGATCACCAACCTGCTCCATCCATCGACGACCTCAACTTCCTGAAGATCATGGATACTGAGGTATGTCAAGATAGCACTCAAAGCTGGGTCGCACCCCTACCTTTTCGGACTCCGAGAGAACGTCTGCCAAACAACAGAGACTATGCCATGAAAAGACTCAAGTCAGTCTGCCACACACTAGAGAAGAAACCTGCCATGAAAGAACATTACATGCAGTTCATGCAAAAGATGATTGACAGTCAGCATGCAGAGATTGCCCCAGTCCTCCGAGAAGGACAAGAAAGCTGGTATTTGCCATCCTTCGGCATCTACCATCCCAAGAAACCCGAACAGATTCGAATAGTGTTCGATTCAAGTGCTCAGTATGAAGGGATTTCACTGAACAATGTCCTGCTCAAAGGCCCAGATCTGAACAATGACCTGTTAGGCGTCCTCATCAGGTTCAGAAAAGAGAAAATTGCTGTGACTGCAGATATTCAACACATGTTTTACTGCTTTGTAGTCAAGGAGGAGCACAGAGACTACCTGAGGTTTCTGTGGTTCCGCGACAACAACTGGGACAGTGACATTGTGGACTACAGAATGCGTGTGCATGTGTTTGGCAACACACCGTCTCCTGCCGTAGCAATCTACTGCCTCAGGAGAGCAGCGAAAGAAGCAGAATCTGAATTTGGCTCTGATGTCAGAGCATTCATTGAGAGAGACTTTTATGTTGACGATGCTCTTAAGTCATTTGCAACAGAGTCCGAGGCCATAAGCGTGGTGAAGAGGGCACAGGAGTCGCTCTCCCACAACAGCCTCCGGTTGCACAAGATCACGTCAAACAGTGCAGCTGTCATGGCTGAATTCCCCCCTGAAGACCGTGCAAGCAGCATCAAAGACCTGGACTTTGCCACTGATAACGTCCCCATGCAGCGCAGCCTGGGTATCAGCTGGAACATAGTCACAGACACATTCACCTTTCAAGTACAGCGAGACGACAAGCCTTTCACACGCAGAGGCGTGCTCTCAACCATAAACAGCATCTTCGACCCGCTCGGTTTTCTCTCACCCGTCACCATACAGGGGAGATCGTTGCTGAGAGAGCTGACCATGGAAAACGGTGAATGGGACTCGCCGTTACCTGGACACCTACAAGCAGAGTGGGTGAGATGGAAGTCCTCCCTACAATGCCTTCAAGACATACAGATCCCCCGCTGCTACACATCTCTCTCCACCTCTGCAGCAAGCGCGAGAGAGTTGTGTGTGTTTGCGGATGCTTCAACCAAAGCAATCGCAGCAGTTGCCTACCTGAAGGTGACCGATGAAGATGAACGCTCCGAAATTGGATTCGTGCTTGGCAAAGCAAAGCTGGCACCAGTGAAAGAGACCACAATCCCCAGACTCGAACTCTGCGCAGCAGTCCTTGCTGTTGAGATAGCTGAGACTGTTGTGAGTAGCATGGTCTCACACATGAACTCTGTCACTTTCTATTCTGACAGCAAAGTCGTGTTAGGTTATATTAACAATGAGCAGAGAAGATTTTATGTTTATGTAAGCAATAGGGTCCAACGCATCAGACAAGCAACATCACCCCAACAGTGGAAGTATGTCCCCACAGAGCTCAACCCGGCCGATCATGGCTCCAGATCAGTTGCCGCTGCATCATTGAGAGACACCAATTGGCTGACCGGACCCGCCTTCCTTTCTGGTAAGCCTCCAGCTGATCATCCGTCACTGTTTGATCTAGTTGACCCAGAGTTAGACTCTGAGATCAGACCTCAGGTCGCAGTACTAGTCACTGAAACCACACAGCTCAGCTTAGGAACTGAGCGCTTCGAGCGTTTCTCAAAGTGGACTTCTGTGTTAAGAGCACTTGCGGTCTTGATTCACATAGCACAGTGTTTCAGGCAAACGGACAAAGACAACATATGCAGAGGGTGGCATACCTGTAAGAAAGCAATCACGCCAGAGAACCTGGAAAAAGCAAAGAAACTACTGATCAAGAACATGCAACAGGAAAGATATCCTAGTGAATTTAGCAACATTCAGAGTAAGTCAGACATTCCAAAACGGAACAACATTGCAAAGCTGCGCCCAGTGGTTGACAGCTGCGGACTTCTCAGAGTGGGAGGACGCATCACACAGTCTGGCCTTGAGATAAACCGCACCAATCCTCTCATCGTCCCAGCTCAGCATCACCTAACGACTCTCCTTGTGCGCCACCATCATGAGCAGGTAAAACACCAGGGCAGACACTTCACAGAGGGGGCCATCAGGGACGCTGGACTGTGGCTGGTGGGCGGAAAGAGGTGTATCAGAGGCACCCTGTCCCGGTGTGTCACCTGCAGGAGACTGCGTGGCAAACAAGAGCATCAGCTGATGGCAGATCTGCCTGCAGACCGGCTACAAGCTGCCCCACCGTTCACGTACGTCGGCTTGGATGTGTTTGGTCCATGGGAGGTCATCAGCCGCCGGACGAGAGGTGGACAAGCAAACAGCAAAAGGTGGGCAGTAATGTTCACCTGTCTGTGTGTGCGTGCTGTACACATTGAAGTGATAGAGACACTGAGTGCATCTAGTTTCATAAATGCTCTACGGAGATTTTTCTCCATCAGAGGCCCTGCTGCACAGATTAGGTCTGACAGAGGCACTAACTTTACTGGTGCGTCAAAAGAACTGAATCTGGAAGACGACGCAGACATGCAACGTTACCTACAAGACCAGCAATGCACATGGATTTTCAACCCCCCGCACGCCTCTCATATGGGAGGGGCCTGGGAGCGACTCATCGGGGTGGCCCGTCGCATCCTAGACTCCATGTTCTTGCAGCAACGCTTCTCTTCATTGACCCACGAGGTCCTCGTCACACTCATGGCAGAGGTTTGTGCAGTCATGAATGCGAGACCCCTGCTGCCTGTGTCAACTGACCCCGAGAACCCCCTCATACTCACCCCCTCCATGCTTCTGACGCAAAAGACAGGAGCCCCATCATCGCCTCCACCTGACTTTGGCAAGGCAGAGATCATTCGTCACCAGTGGAAGCTGGTACAATATCTCGCAGAGACATTTTGGCACAAATGGCAACGTGAATACCTGAGCACCCTGCAAAGTCGGGCCAAGTGGCAGGAAAAAAGGCCTAACTTGCAGGAAGGAGACATCATCTTGATGAAAGACAATGCAGTGCCAAGGAACCACTGGCCGATGGCAGTGGTCATCAAAACTTATCCCAGCAGAGACAATGTTGTCAGGACTGTAGATATCAGAGTGGTCCGCCAAGGCACTCCTAAAATGTACAAAAGACCAGTAACTGAACTTGTCTTACTTTTCTCTCCTAGACAGGATGTTACTTGTGTTTAAGTAAAGTGTGTGCATCTAAAAAGTAATAGGTGTGGTATCCTTAAGATACCAGGCAGGGAGTGTGTTGGTCTTAATGACCATTCATTCATTTTGTGTTTCTTGGTAAGACTTTCTTTGGCTATTTACAGTGCGTTAACGCCATCTATTGGCCACTTGCAGTAACGGCAGGTTTTGGTGTATGGTTTCTATTTCCGATGGTACTCTCGTTTTGAACGAGTTTTGTGTTCAGTCTTCCAGACCAAGTTGCGCTCTGTGTTGTGTCAATTCCTCTTACAAGTTTCTTCAAACCCCGCACAGTCGTGTTTCCCACGGGGGCAATGCCGGTGAGTAACGCTGTGTGTAATATAAGGTGTTTTATATTAGCCGTTTTCTTAAGGAAATGAATGTGTTGCTACGAAGTGTAGATTCCTTTGTTTTCCATGTAATAGCGGCTCACGCTTAGTAGAAAACGATGTATGTGTTGCATTTGGATTTGGAAATGATTGGAAAAAGGCAATATGAGCTAAAAGGTACTTTTATTTGTGTTTACAGTTTTACAGCTTGTTTTTGCACTGCCGTGTGTAAAATAAAGGAGAGGAGAAAAAGACCTCGGGATAAAGCAGCATCTCTCTTCTTTGTTCACCTCACCTGGCTGTTTATACGCGCTGGATAACTAAATACGCAAACGTTTAGCGAGGCCAGTACAGTTTTATTGATAGTGTGTGTTTAAGATGTTTACAATTATCGCACTTTTCTTATATTTCAGTCTCAAATATTTGACATTTTGGGAATTTAATAAATATTGACATGAGAATAAATTTGAAACCCTTACAGTTGCATATTTGTTTTCAGAATGGGATTTTTCCTGTTAACAGGATTTCCTGTTTTTCTGACTTCCTTTTCTGACCTTATAAGTGCCTCAAGTTGCCTTTTGGGACATACATACATACATACGTACATATCATACTTGCCTGTTTAGAGGAGGTTATTTCAGCCTCGTATAAAATCAACAATTATAATAATAATATTAAAGCAAACACAGCTCTGGTATCGGAATAGTATCGGTATCGGCCGATATCCAAATTCAAGTATTGGGATCGTATCAGAAGTGAAAAAAATTGGATCGGTGCATCCCTATATATAACATTCATGTTTCATACTAGATTTTCTGAAAAAGGGGGGGTAAAAAAATCATAAAAACCGGCGACTGTTTACATGAGTTTTGTGCTGTAGTAATAGTTCTAGTCTACGACTGTTGGCTTGCAATTTACTTTTCCCCTGTTCGTTTGATATGTGGACAACATAACAAACGGATGGAAGGGGGTGAATCTGATGAAATAAGTTCAACTCTCTTTCAAAATATCAGGTATTGCATGGAAATTACTTAATTCAATATGGCATATTCACATTCGTCACATTCATATGACGTCATAATATGCAAATTAGATGGGGAAATTTACGCCCTAGATAAACTTTAGGTCATTCTCAATATTTGTCTCATTTACACTTTGTCTCTATCTCAAACCACTTTCAAGCCAGAGCCTTCTAAAATGTATATGTCAAAATCTAGTATTTTTCAAAATAAAACCTGGCACCTAAAGGGTTAAAGGTCCAGTATGTAACATTTAGGAGGCTCTAATGGTAGAATGGAAAATAATGTTCATATGTCTTATATCAGTAGTGTATAATAACCTTCATACAGTTATTGTTATACTTTTGTGACATTAGATTGAACTCTATTCATGTACAAATGCTGCCCATGGATTCTGCCATGTTTCTACATTAGCCCAAAAGGGACAGACCAAGGACTGGTTTAGGATTGGAGTGTTTGCAATTTTCACAAGTTGTCAGCGATTGCAGTTTATCCTTGCAAGGGGAAGGTGAAGCAACAGAGTTGCAATCTGCAACTTCACCGCAAGATGCCACTCAATCCTACATACTGGACCTTTAAAAGCAAAAGTAGATGTAACACCCCTTTAAACAATAATAGGTGGTAATACTACTCTTAGGAACATGCCGGCTTTTTGTATTAAAGTAAAAAAGAATAAAAATACAAACAAAATCACGAACAATGGTAACACTCACACTGATAACACTGGTTGTGTTAAGTTTTCCAGCCATTGCTTTTTCAATTGTGATTTCATAGCGGAATGCTCAAATGTTTGTGATGTCTTAGCAGAATTCTTACATCAATGTGAAGTCACAGCGGAATGTGAATTGTGATGTCAGAGAACAATGCTCACATCTTTGTGATGTCGTATAGGAATTCTGATGTAATAGCGGAATGCTCATGGCTTTGTGATGTCACAGTGGAATACTTACATTTTTGTGATGTCATAGCAAAATTCTCATATCTTTGTGATGTCATAGCGGAAAGCAAAAGGTGATGTCACAGCGGAATGCACACTTTCAAATGCTATGTCAAAATGGAGTGTACACTTTCAATTGAATTGTGATGTAATATCAGAAGGCGGATTGTGAATTCACAGCGGAATACAAAATTTGATGTTAGAGCACATGCGTACTTCCAATTGTGATGTCACAGCGGAATGTGGAATGCAATGTCATAGCCAAATTCTCACATCCATTTGTGAAGTCACTGCAGAATGAAGATTACATCGCAGCGGAATGATCACATCTTTGTGATGCCATAGCAGAATTCTTACATTCATGTGATGTCAGAGCGGAATGTGAAATGTGATGTCATAGGGAAATTGTGATGCCATAGCGTAATATTCCCATCTTTGTGATGTCATAGAAAAATTCTTACATCCATGTGATGTCAGAGCAGTACAAAGTAATGTCTTTAAAATGTTCTCGTAAAAAACATTATTATTGTATACTTAAGTATTAAAGGTCCAGTATGTAACATTTAGGAGGATCTAATAGATTAATTGAACATAATATTATTATTGCTGATCTCAGTAGTGTATTATAACCTTCATACAGTTATTGTTATACTTTTGTGACCTTAGATTGAACTTTATTCATCTACAAATGCCGCCCATGGATTCTGCCATGTTTCTACATTAACCCAAAAAGGACAAACCAAGGACTGGTTTAGGATGGGAGTGTTTGCAATTTTCACAAGTTTTCAGCCATTGCAGTTTGCCCTTGCAAGGGGAAGGTGAAGTAACAGAGTTGCAATCGGCAACTTCACCGCAAGATGCCACTCAATCCTACATACTGGACCTTTAAAAGCAAAAGTAGACACTATGGAACAGAATGGCTCCCATCAGTGTTATTGTACATTAGTTATAACATTCATGTTACGTACTAGATTTTTAAGAAAAAGGTAAACTCTAAATTCATCAGCTTCTGCAGGTCTTGTCTTATATGTCCCATAAATGATCCAAGTCTTTCTCCCTCTTTCTCAATTGTGACGTCATAGCGGAATGTGTTGTCACAGCCGAATGCAGAATTCGTAGTTATAGCAGAATGCTGAAATGTTTGTGATGTCATAGCGGAAAGCTCAAATGTTTGTGATGTCATAGCAGAATTCTTACATCATTGTGATGTCATAGCGGAAGTGATGTCACAGCGGAATGCAGAATTCTACGTCAGAGCAAAATGCGCAAATGTTTGTGATGTCACAGCCAAATGGAGAATTCGAAGTTATAGCAGAATGCTGAAATGTTTGTGATGTCAAAGCGGAATGCTCACATTTTTGTGATGTCATAGCAGAATTCTTACATCAACGTGATGTCACAGTGGAATGTGAAATGTGATGTCAGTGTAGGACCTTGTCCTCGTCTTCCTTTACGAGAGACGCTTTATCTGTCTCTTAATTTAACAATCATCATATTATTTTGATTATGTTTCACCAGGAGAGTTTTCAAGGCTTTTTTCCCTTTGACCTTTTTGACCCAGGAAAGGAGGTGAGACTGTGGTGCCGACAGTCTCCTGCACCGAGAGCCTGGTTCTTTTCTGATTCACAGATGGTATCTCCAGGTGTCAATTTGTTTTATCCTCTTCAACAGAACAATGACTCCTCCATAGATCAGAACGACACTTCACACTTAGGTTCGGGAAACCCTTATTTTCTTACAAGAGTGTGTGTGATGATTTAGGTGCCTTTTTAGTTGTAAGTTCCTATGCAATGGACATGGAATGTGTTTGCATCTCCTTGATCTAAATTGTATCACCTCCAGAGAGAAATTCCTCTGGAATCCACATCTGGCATTCTGACACCCCTTCCTCTAAAGTGTAAATTACGATGTTTTCTTTTGATAGTGGACATTCCAATCTAGGAAGCAGTAACAACAGTTGCACGGATATAGATTTAGCTCTGTTGGAGTATTATGGAAAAATTTCAACTTCTCAAAATTAACAGATTGCCATCCAGCATGAGAAGGTCGCAAATGTAATGTTTGTCTGATGTTTCTGTCTTCAGATTGGACTAAGTTACAAAATCATGTGTAAAATGCTTGAATGTTTGATGGAGCCACAGTGCCACCTTTTGGTAAGATTCTGGTATAGCATAAGGTATCTTCAAAACGGATTTTGTTTTATAATTGTGTATTATTCCAAATGGTAAATGCCTGACACACAATTTTATAACAAGAATTAAGCTAACACTATATGAAATATGTACAATCCATAAGTGTTGCTTCATATGCATGTTTGTGAAATTTGAACTAGTTCTGCTTTTATTTTTACAACAAGTAATTTCGGTTATGTTATGTTAAAACATGTAAACTATGTATGAAGTCATGGTGGGTTCTGTGGATGGTGAATTAGGATTTTGAAACTTTAAAACACGATAGAAGTAAGTTAATAAAGTTACGAATATTGAAATATCGCTAAAGGAAGTGACGCAATCAGCCTTTTCGGATACGCCTCTAGACTAAAACATATATAATATAGACTCCGGTCTCATTTTTTTTTCTCTCTTACTTTACACTTCCAAAACTCTCTGCTTTACATTACAGCGTAATACTCACATCTTTGTGATGTCATAGCGGATTGCTGTAATGTTTGTGATGTCATAGCAGAATTCTTACATCTATGTGATGTCCGAGCGGAACAAAGGAAAAATTTTCTCGTTAAAACATGATTATTGTATAAAGGTCCAGTATGTAACATTTAGGAGGATCTAATGGCAGAATGGAACATTATATTCACATGTCTGATCTCAGTAGTGTATAATAACCTCCATACAGTTATTATTATACTTTTGTGACCTTAGATTGAACTTTACTCATCTACAAATGCCGCCCATGGATTCTGCCATGCCCAAAAGGGACAAACCAAGGACTGGTATATGATGGGAGTGTTTGCAATTTTCACAAGTTTTTCAGCCATTGCAGTTTGGCCTTGCAAGGGGAAGGTGAAGCAACAGAGTTGCAATCTGCAACTACACCGCAAGATGCCACTCAATCCTACATACTGGACCTTTAAAAGCAAAAATAGACACTATGGAACAGAATGGCTCCCATCAGTGTAACATTACATTATATATAACATTCATGTTACGTACTAGATTTTTATGAAAAAAAGTAAACTCTAAATTCATCATCTTCTCCAGGTCTTGTGTTTAATGTCCCATAAATGATCCAAGTCTTTCTCCCCCTTTTTCAATTGTGATGTCACAGCCGAATGCAGACTTTGATGCTATAGAAGCATGCTGAAATGTTTGTGATGTCATAGCAGAATTCTTACATCCATGTGATGTCAGAACGGAATGTGGAACATGATGTCATAGAACAA